CGGACGCGTGAGGTGAGGGTTTTACCCGTTGACACGTTTCACACGTACGCACATTAGTAGTGATCCATTTTTAGAATCTGAGCCACCAACAGCATTGGCTAACTGAGCCGTAGGTCTTCTCATGACCGAGATGACCACTCAACGCAGTATCATGTGCCTCATAGAGGATCCGATACTTCGACTCCTCATCATTAGGGACAACGATGCGAGGGGTATTCTCCACATCCGTACTTTAGCACAACAGGCCTTGATCGATGGAATATTGGTGTAGCCTCGCACGTAACCTTGCCGGCAATTCTATGTCTGAGTATTTAAACTCCTTGATCCCTAGAGCACGTAGCAGAGCTACACAGTTTTCGTCCTTGGCATATGCCGTACGGATTAGGTCAGTGACCGACGAAGATAGAGTCGTAAAATGAGCAAGCTCATATTCAGGCCTGCGTGACAACGTATTAGCTAAATCATTCTGCTTGCCTGGATTATACTTCACCTCGAAGTTGTACTCGGCAAAGAAGTAAAGCCAACAAGCCATTCTATGAGAGAGGTGAGGTGACTGGGTCGCAGTGCGTAATGACGCATGATCTGCATAGATCACAAAAGGCTTAGAGCCAAGCAGATGAACTCTGAATTTGACTAAAGCATACTTCATCGCAAGTAGCTCTTTAGCATGAACGGGATAGTTTTTCTCAGCTGCTTTTAGCTGTCGGGACTCAAACGCAATGACGCGTTCCCGTCCATGATCATCTGTTTGTAACAGAGCACTGACGATGGCAAAATCAGATGCGTCACAGACGACAAAAAAGGCCGATCAGGATCGGGCAAAGCCAAGATTGGCGCTTGAAGGAGACTCTCTTTAATGCTTGAAAAGCATCATGCTCGGTGGTAGTCCAGCTCCACGGCACATCCTTTTTAAGGAGATTGGATGATGGCCGAGCCATGTCTGCGAAATTTGCACTATACTTGTGTAAGTAATTGGTTAGGCCAAGCCACTCACGTACGTCCTTTTGGTTCTTTGGAACCGGCCAGTCAACTATGGCTTTTATCTTAGCGGGATCCGCTCGAAGGCCTCGCTTCTTAACGAAGCACCCTAAAACGAAATCTCTTCTGCATCAAAGATGCACTTAGACGCGTTGGTGTACAGCTTATTTGTGCGCATGCACTCGAGCACCGCTCGTAAATGGTCGATATGATTATCCGCATCTGAACGATCGTCAATAGCACGACTATGGACAAAGATGTCATCAAAGTATGTCGGTACATAACCCGGTGAGGTCTGAACAATTGTGTCACATAGCGATTAAATGTAGCTGGGGAACTGATAATCCCTGTGGCATGACAAGTCACTCCCAGAGCATACCTCATGGATTGCTCACCTATGTCTGTGGAATATCGCTCTCTCGGATGAGCAGCTGGCAAAAAACATCGCCTAAGTCGAGCGCACTGTACATGGTACATCCAACCATATTGTTCTGAAGAACATCTTTCCTAGGTATTGTGTGGCGGATCCGGAATGGTGGCCGCATTACGCTTATTGTAAGCATGAACAATGCGCCACTTCCCATTGGGCTTTCTGACACAGAAGGTCGGTGTGGAATGACGAGATTTGCTCTCACGTACCATTCCTGCCGCGTGCTTTGCACGAAAGAAGTAGTCAATGACGTCACACTGTTCTTTCGGTAACGAACATTGCCGTGTTACGCATTATTTAGTAATAGGAACCAATTCAATGCCATGACGTACACCTCTATCGGGAGGTAAGACGGACAATGGTTTGTGACACACCACGTCGTGAAACTCCTTTACTAAAGGACATAACGGATCAAAAGGATCCTTAAGGATCGAAGATCCACTACGAGCATCCAATGCCGCCTTTGTGTCCTCAAGGACAGACTCGTCCAATAACGAGGATGAGTTCAATTTAATATCCGGCCGAATGACCACTAACTCGGATAATTCTCCTGCCTGTAAGGCTTGGCTAAATTCGCCGTCAGACATTTCGTCTAGTTCAAAGAGAGTATCCATGGATGGAAGAGTCTCAAGACTAATATTGCCATCAATCTGGTCAGTCAACCCATTGACAAGTGTATATAGTGTATTATTACTATTATCACTTCGTGACTTCTTAAAAGCTTGGCGCTTGACAGTTGCCACCCTACGCTGGGATTGTTTCCTCAAAGAAACCTTACGCCTCCTAGAGGCCGGGACAGTAGGGTCCAGTGGTTGCTATTTAGCTTAGCACGCTCTATACGAGAGCTCATGTCTTTAACCACATGCGGTGGAGAATTACGCAACTCGAACACTTCGCCGAGTGGATTTTAACGTACCACTTCACACGCATTACGTGGGCCTAGCCCTGAATGCTTCGGCTTTTTGCCGACAATATCACTACTGATATTTAGTGAGGTGCCATCGCGGCCGCCCTCACTAGGTGAATTTTTACGTACCACCCTACTCACATCAGAGAAATTACATTCTCGGCCCTAGGCCAACCATGCCTGCAGCATGTAGTGACTCAGTACCACAACGAGTATCACTCAGCGGATTATAATTCCCTTCACACCCGGTGAAAGAGCTCCGCTCAATATTGATGTCATTGACATTGGAGCTAATTAACTCTGACATACTAATGTCCAGCACATTGACATCTTCCATCAGTGGCTCGCGCCAATAGCGCTTTTGTTGCCTAGCGAAGGTGGGTTCATGACTCTCCAAAGCTTCGCTAGGAACATTGCGCGTGGCGCCTAAGGTCTTGGGCCTCCAATTAATCCATGGCTCATGGCGTTCAAGCCAAGCCATACCCTGGATGAGATCATATCTCGAATTCAAATCGAGTACAAGACAGCGTTCAATGCTGTCAAAGTCCAAAAACTTAATACCTCAGTTCAACGGAACTTTTAGGTACACTGACGCGACTACCTGTCGCTAAACGAACGGTGATCGAATCACCTTCATGCGCTTTGAGCGCTTCAGCGTATCGCTGACTTCCCTCAAGGGAACGACGTCGAGCATAATTGCGTGATACTCTGGAGTCGATTAAAATCGACCACTGCTTCTCAAAGCCTTTCATTATCGTCTCAGCGACTAACAAGCCAGGGCTGTATCCACGTTCTGTGCTGACGGGCACAGAGCTCTTTGGGGATCAGCCCTGTTTCGATATACCTCGTAGAGAACCATCAGAACATAGTTCTACCCCAGTAGGGCGCCCCGCACCTACTGGGTGTCGACGTTTCCCCGTGCCATACCAGGTTTCTGGTTGTGGCTGGGGTTTCGACCCATTGGAGTCGGTTGTTGCTTACGCAAAGGACACGTGGGACGCAAGTATTTAGTGCTTCCGCACATATAACAGCGTTTCACTTCCTGTCGTTGCTCTGCAACATGAAGCTTTGCTTTACCTTCATCTTTAGCATGGATAAGATCCATCGGTTCTGGCTTGCAGTAAGCTGAAGTGTTTGTTGAGGACGCCCTCGCAAAGCTTAGTTTGTACCCATTCCAACCAAGTCTGGGCTTATCTTTGTGCCCAGCATTTTGAGCGATGCTAACAGCTTTCTCAAAAGAAGAGGGATGGATTCGAAAGACCTCGGTCCTGGCAACGCCATAACGAAGACCTTCCATGAAGACAGTCACATAGACTGTCTTAGGGAGAGAGTCAGACTGTATAGCAGCCATCAGAGTTCTCAACTCTCGGACATAGTCCGTTAACTCACTCTTAACCTGACGGGTAGACAAGACGCGTGAGCACACGCGATAAGCCTGGTTGGGCGGCGAGAAAACTCGCAAAAGGTCTAATTGAGCGAAGAACATGTGGTAAACGCCAATTCGACCGACGTGCCACACGTCAGAGCCCACTCTCTAGCTCTTCCATCGAGCTTAGAGATGGCCAGCGAGACCCGCTGGTATCCAGTGAGATAAGGCCAGAGCTCATGGTCATCCCAATCTCACGGATCCGGAGGGCCAGGTCTTCTCCCTCCTTCCCGGGGTAATGTTTAAAGTCCACCCGATGGGGACGAGGCTTAGCCTCTTCTGGTGGCATCGCCACGTAGCATGTTGGAATAGCCGATGCTACCTAATTTTGAGTCTGCCCCAGAAGGGTTGTTTCATACTTTATGAAGGCCTCGACTCGTGCATTGAGCACATCGGGACCTTGTGCAGCTAGAAACTCCACATATTCTGGGCCTACGGTCACGATCAGCCTATCAAGCGCGACCTTTTAGGCCTCAGTGAGGGGTGCGGATTGCTCCATCCTCACAGAGATCAGTCTTAAATACTCAGGCGTAGATTGGTTTCTATTGCTACCAAGTGTAGCGGAGCTACGTAGCTCCTTAAGTCAGAAGAAGACTTAACGCTCAACGAGCAACTTTGTTTCAAAGAACCCGACTCAGAGGGTTAACAATCCCAGAGATCCTACGGTCCCTGTTCCCGGGGACCAAACGGTTCAAGAGAATCATAGCACAGAGTGCTATAAGAGTAGCTACCTTTTACAAGGCGTTGCTAGACTCTTATCGATCGAAGACGCATCAGGAATGCACGTATCTTAACAGATCAAAATGGGAACTGAACTTTATTTTTTTATCGAAAGAACACCTCAGACAAACGTACTAAATCTAGGCACTAATGTTCGAATCAATACCCTTGAAAGGATCCCGTAAGTTCGTGGCTGACACACGTCAGCCCCAAACAACTGATATGGTGCTCTAATATCATAATAGTGGGACTCCTTCCCTCGTGCAAACCACACACGTTGTGTCACCATGTTACAGGTAATTGTCCAAGCACGACCGGAAAGGGTTTGCCATAATCCATTCTCATCTATAAGCATTCCAACTTGCCTATCAAGTCCGCGTTACGTAGTGATAAGGAATGATGTAATGCACCAATGTCCTCAACAACAATCCCACATTTCAACTTCGATCGCACTAAACTTCTCTGCGCCTTCGCAACTCACCAAAACGCCAGACCTCATACGCGTAATTCAACAGACATGACGATTGCAATCGATCTACATGTTGCGCATGTTCAACGACGGCGTGGCGATGATGCTGCTGTTCCTTGCTGTGTACTTGTTTGCACGCCAACGCTGGCGCTGGGGCTGTGTGCTCTTCAGTCTCGCAGTGTCGATCAAGATGAACGTCTTGCTGTTCGCACCGGCACTGTTCTTCTTGTTGCTGCAGTCGTGTGGTATTCTGCGCACGGCGTGGTACTTATTGGTCTGCGCAGCTATTCAGGTTGCGTTGGGCTACCCGTTCCTCAAGCACAACTGGTGGGGCTACGTGAACAGAGCGTTTGACCTCAGCCGCGTGTTTGCGTTCAAGTGGACGGTCAATTGGCGGTTCCTGGACGAAGCAACGTTCGTGTCGGGCGGATTCGCACTGCTGTTGCTACTGGGGCACGTGTTCTTCATGGTACTGCTTCTCGACAAGCACTTTCACATCGTGGGCACGATCCGCGCGGTGATGATGAAGCCGTTCGCTGTCTACGAGCCATTCCCCATCCAGAGTGAGATCGTCGTGACGTCGCTCTTCGTCATGAACTTTGTCGGCGTCGTCTTCTCGCGCACGCTGCACTACCAATTCTACGCATGGTACTACCCGACGCTGCCGTACCTGCTGTGGTGTTCCGACCTCCCGCTGCTGCTCAAGATGGCGGCGCTGCTGAACAACGAGTACGCGTTCAACACGTTCCCGTCGACCACCATGAGCTCGATCATGCTGCAGCTCACCAACCTGTTCCTGCTCATCACGCTGTACCTGAACCAGAAGTCGAACTCGTTCGTGCCGTACCTGGACGCCGAGTCGCGGCTCAAGCTGACCGCCTTCGTGAACGAAGAGTGCTTCGACGGCGCGCGTCAGCTCGCGCTGTACTACGGCAGCGTGACGGAGAATCTGGCCGACGGGGCGCGAGTCGCGTCCATTGACGAGCACGAGGTGGTGCTGTCGCTGCCCACGATGAAGCTGACGCTCGCAGTGGGCTTTGGGAGCAGCGGACCGGTCACGGGCGAGGGCTACGGCCGTCAGGTGCTGACGGAGATGCTGCGTGAGGCGGGCGCGGGCCTTCGGGCCGGCAACACGATGGGCAAACTCATCAGCCGCGAGTACACGAAGGAGAAGGAGCTCGAGCGGCTCGTGAACGCGCTGGACGAGCCGCACGAGCGGACGGACGCGCGCCAGTCGCTGCGGCAGCGGACGACCGCGACAACAGTGACGACGACGACGACGTCGACGATGACGACGACGAGCGTGTAATCGAATACCTCTGTCACGTGTTTCGTGTTGTGCCCTTTATTACCTGTGAGACTGTATATATGTACCCGTCCTCCTCCGAGTGGCTGCCCAGCGTCCAGGACCCATGACGGTGGCTTTGGCCTTCGAGGGCGACGACGGCGCGCGCGCCATGGAGACGCAGGTGCAGGTCCACGAGAGCGACGGCGTGCGCGCGCGGGACGTCGACGTGTGCGCGTACTTTGACGTTGCGCGCACCGTGGAGCAGATCCGTCGCGGCGGCTACACGACAGTGGCGCTGCAGTTTCCCGACTCGCTGCTGCCGGACGCCCGAGAGGTTCAGAAGGAGCTAAAGGAGCGCCTGAGTGGCCAATGGGAGCGCGTGTTTGTGCTCGGGGACACGTCGTACGGCAGCTGCTGCGTGGACGAAGTGGCGGCGCAGCATCTCGTCGCGGACTGCATTGTGCACTACGGCCGCTCGTGTCTAAGGTGCCGACTGCTGTCAATGTGTAAAGGCAGAGGGCGGATGGGTGGAACGAGTCCGTGTTGTAGGTTGGACGCGTGACGTTACTGTTGATAACGTTGTTGTTGTTGTTGTTGTTGTTGTTGTGGGTATGTAGCACGACGACCAAAATTCCAGTGATCTACGTGTTTGGCAACGCGCCGATCGAAGTCGATGTCTGCGTGCAACAGTTGAGCGAGCAGATTGTGGCTGTGGATACGAAAAAGGTGTTGGTGCTGCTGTATGAGCCGCGCTATCACCATGCAAGTCGTGCTGTCTTCGAAGGACTTGAGACGAAATGCGGCGATCGGAAGCTGGTGTTTGGCACCATGAAGACTTTCTACGACCCGATGGAGGAGGCACAAAAGGGTGAGACGGTGAGTGACGATAGCAATGCTTCGCTGTCAGTGCTCCACATAGGAGGACAGGAGATTGTCGTGCACTCAGAGACTACCGAAATCACTCCGGAAACGTTTGCGCTGCTGTATATCGGAGCCGAGTCGGCACATCTCACTAGTATTCTGATGCGACACAGCACTGTGGATTGCTTCTCGTACAACCCTGAGATGATGTCGACTCGCAAGGAGGGCGCATCTGTCAACCGTGCGCTCATGAGACGGTAGGCTTTTGGTTTCTTCGGGGTACAAGGATGATACGGTAATACTTACGTGCTGCTTGATTGGTAGTTTCTTCCTTGTCCAGCAAGCCAAGGAGGCACGAATTTACGGTATTTTAATGGGCACGCTTGGTGTCAACAAGTATCTCGACGTGGTGCATGGTCTCCAGAACCTGATTAAAAAGTGAGAGTCCGCAAGGTATATTGGGGCAGTGAATCGTGGCTGTGCTGGTATACTAACAAACGGTTTTGCACGTACGCGCGTTTCAGAAGTGGACGTAAGTCTTACCTGTTCGTCGTGGGTAAAGTCAATGTGCCCAAACTCGCAAACTTCGCCGAGATCGACGCTTTTGTGCTTGTGGCATGTCAGCAAAACACGTTGATGGACAGCAAGGAGTTCTACAAGCCCATCGTGACGCCGTACGAGCTGCAGCTTGCGTTGTCATCCACCGAAGAGTGGGATGGCCATTACAAGACGGACTTTCGCGAGGTAATACCAGCACTCGAGCACGCGGTGCGGAGCGTGGAACAGCTTTCTGGCCGAGACGAAGACGAGAACGCCGACAAACCTTTTTTCTCACTGGTTTCTGGGACATACAAAACGTTATCACGGACAACGGCAGCTGGCCGTGCGACTACTGCTCACGCCCTCACAGCATCTGCTGAAGAGCCCGACGCATCAAGTGCGCTGCAGGTCAAGAACGAACGCAAGGAGCTTACGATGTATCACAGTGAGGCTGGTGACTATTTGGCTACACGTGAATACCAAGGTTTGGACCCACGCATTGGTAAGACGCTTGCACACGCTGCTACTGAAGGCAGCACAGGCATCGCGCGGGGATACACGCATGAAATGGAATAGAGATTTACAACACGCAGAAAGCTATTGCACAATTGGGCTGCCCACCCAGTCCGTGTGCGAGTCGAAAAGGAGGTTCTCGGTGCCGTTGTTTTCTTGCCCTACGTTGTCGATGCACGATGCGAGTGACCGACCTTCTTGTGTCGAATACATCCCTGAGATACCGGTTCAAGAATTTACATGCCCGGTCAATGTCGGCAAGTCGAACTATGCTCGATGCGCCTGCTACTTGATCCATAGCGTATCCTGCCATGCAAATGTGGGGCAAATTCATATAAAAGAAAGAAGTATTGAGATCTGCCAGTTGGGACGATGGCGTTACTTCTGTTTGCTACTCGAGGATAGTTGATGGCCGGTCCAGCACTATTCGCATTTTCCATGACACGCCAATGTCACAAACCATTATTCGAGTATGCATGACCCACGTGTAGTGTGTATGCTACTTCGTGACTATATGAGATTGGTCGCAATGGTCCCATGCAGAAGTCTCTTGTTACGACTATTTACAGCGGCGTCGAGATGATGCTTGTTTCCACGCAAGTGACCCCCAGTGGAGCAAAGTGGTTTTTTGTGCTAGAGGAAGAGCGAAGTAAATAGTTACAATTGACTCTGGCTTCAGTCATACATTGGTTTCATTTATTTAGCCTTTTGACTTTAGTGATCTCTTGTTATTGCTTACGCTTCAGGCGACTACATTTATAACAGCATCCGGTATTTCGGTACGACATCGCAAGATAAATCAGACGAGCACTACGGCATCTTCTACTGCTGCACGGGACGCAGCAACAATCCATGTTGCTCTATCATTCGCTTTGATTGTAACAGGTGACCCTGTTGCATAATGTTGACATTACTTACCCATACCAACATGTCAACACGATTACTCTTTTTGTGGACAGTACTCTTTGTAGTTGATGGAACACTACTCACCAACTGCTGTAATCGATGATGTCCGCCACTAAAACCACCAATCAGTATAGATAACGCGCGACGAGTGGTGAGCTGGTGTTGACATTCATGATTGAAGTGTATCACAGACTAAGCAAGGCATAAAATGTACTCTGTTTACATAATAATTATATCAAATGCAGCTCACCAACAAAGCGCTCCGTTTAGTTGGGTATTCCTCTTTTTATTCAACTCATCAAGTGGCAACAACATCCGCTGTCGAAAGGTTGACTTCACGACTCCGATGGAATTCGGTGTAAATAAAGCTTAAAATATTTATTAAACACATGTACAATCTGAGAAACATAAAAGCGTCAAGTACTTCATTACTCAGGGATGTATTCGACACAAGAAGGTCGGTCACTCGCATCGTGCATCGACAACGTAGGGCAAGAAAACAACGGCACCGAGAACCTCCTTTTCGACTCGCACACGGACTGGGTGGGCAGCCCAATTGTGCAATAGCTTTCTGCGTGTTGTAAATCTCTATTCCATTTCATGCGTGTATCCCCGCGCGATGCCTGTGCTGCCTTCAGTAGCAGCGTGTGCAAGCGTCTTACCAATGCGTGGGTCCAAACCTTGGTATTCACGTGTAGCCAAATAGTCACCAGCCTCACTGTGATACATCGTAAGCTCCTTGCGTTCGTTCTTGACCTGCAGCGCACTTGATGCGTCGGGCTCTTCAGCAGATGCTGTGAGGGCGTGAGCAGTAGTCGCACGGCCAGCTGCCGTTGTCCGTGATAACGTTTTGTATGTCCCAGAAACCAGTGAGAAAAAAGGTTTGTCGGCGTTCTCGTCTTCGTCTCGGCCAGAAAGCTGTTCCACGCTCCGCACCGCGTGCTCGAGTGCTGGTATTACCTCGCGAAAGTCCGTCTTGTAATGGCCATCCCACTCTTCGGTGGATGACAACGCAAGCTGCAGCTCGTACGGCGTCACGATGGGCTTGTAGAACTCCTTGCTGTCCATCAACGTGTTTTGCTGACATGCCACAAGCACAAAAGCGTCGATCTCGGCGAAGTTTGCGAGTTTGGGCACATTGACTTTACCCACGACGAACAGGTAAGACTTACGTCCACTTCTGAAACGCGCGTACGTGCAAAACCGTTTGTTAGTATACCAGCACAGCCACGATTCACTGCCCCAATATACCTTGCGGACTCTCACTTTTTAATCAGGTTCTGGAGACCATGCACCACGTCGAGATACTTGTTGACACCAAGCGTGCCCATTAAAATACCGTAAATTCGTGCCTCCTTGGCTTGCTGGACAAGGAAGAAACTACCAATCAAGCAGCACGTAAGTATTACCGTATCATCCTTGTACCCCGAAGAAACCAAAAGCCTACCGTCTCATGAGCGCACGGTTGACAGATGCGCCCTCCTTGCGAGTCGACATCATCTCAGGGTTGTACGAGAAGCAATCCACAGTGCTGTGTCGCATCAGAATACTAGTGAGATGTGCCGACTCGGCTCCGATATACAGCAGCGCAAACGTTTCCGGAGTGATTTCGGTAGTCTCTGAGTGCACGACAATCTCCTGTCCTCCTATGTGGAGCACTGACAGCGAAGCATTGCTATCGTCACTCACCGTCTCACCCTTTTGTGCCTCCTCCATCGGGTCGTAGAAAGTCTTCATGGTGCCAAACACCAGCTTCCGATCGCCGCATTTCGTCTCAAGTCCTTCGAAGACAGCACGACTTGCATGGTGATAGCGCGGCTCATACAGCAGCACCAACACCTTTTTCGTATCCACAGCCACAATCTGCTCGCTCAACTGTTGCACGCAGACATCGACTTCGATCGGCGCGTTGCCAAACACGTAGATCACTGGAATTTTGGTCGTCGTGCTACATACCCACAACAACAACAACAACAACGTTATCAACAGTAACGTCACGCGTCCAACCTACAACACGGACTCGTTCCACCCATCCGCCCTCTGCCTTTACACATTGACAGCAGTCGGCACCTTAGACACGAGCGGCCGTAGTGCACAATGCAGTCCGCGACGAGATGCTGCGCCGCCACTTCGTCCACGCAGCAGCTGCCGTACGACGTGTCCCCGAGCACAAACACGCGCTCCCATTGGCCACTCAGGCGCTCCTTTAGCTCCTTCTGAACCTCTCGGGCGTCCGGCAGCAGCGAGTCGGGAAACTGCAGCGCCACTGTCGTGTAGCCGCCGCGACGGATCTGCTCCACGGTGCGCGCAACGTCAAAGTACGCGCACACGTCGACGTCCCGCGCGCGCACGCCGTCGCTCTCGTGGACCTGCACCTGCGTCTCCATGGCGCGCGCGCCGTCGTCGCCCTCGAAGGCCAAAGCCACCGTCATGGGTCCTGGACGCTGGGCAGCCACTCGGAGGAGGACGGGTACATATATACAGTCTCACAGGTAATAAAGGGCACAACACGAAACACGTGACAGAGGTATTCGATTACACGCTCGTCGTCGTCATCGTCGACGTCGTCGTCGTCGTCACTGTTGTCGCGGTCGTCCGCTGCCGCAGCGACTGGCGCGCGTCCGTCCGCTCGTGCGGCTCGTCCAGCGCGTTCACGAGCCGCTCGAGCTCCTTCTCCTTCGTGTACTCGCGGCTGATGAGTTTGCCCATCGTGTTGCCGGCCCGAAGGCCCGCGCCCGCCTCACGCAGCATCTCCGTCAGCACCTGACGGCCGTAGCCCTCGCCCGTGACCGGTCCGCTACTCCCAAAGCCCACTGCGAGCGTCAGCTTCATCGTGGGCAGCGACAGCACCACCTCGTGCTCGTCAATGGACGCGACTCGCGCCCCGTCGGCCAGATTCTCCGTCACGCTGCCGTAGTACAGCGCGAGCTGACGCGCGCCGTCGAAGCACTCTTCGTTCACGAAGGCGGTCAGCTTGAGCCGCGACTCGGCGTCCAGGTACGGCACGAACGAGTTCGACTTCTGGTTCAGGTACAGCGTGATGAGCAGGAACAGGTTGGTGAGCTGCAGCATGATCGAGCTCATGGTGGTCGACGGGAACGTGTTGAACGCGTACTCGTTGTTCAGCAGCGCCGCCATCTTGAGCAGCAGCGGGAGGTCGGAACACCACAGCAGGTACGGCAGCGTCGGGTAGTACCATGCGTAGAATTGGTAGTGCAGCGTGCGCGAGAAGACGACGCCGACAAAGTTCATGACGAAGAGCGACGTCACGACGATCTCACTCTGGATGGGGAATGGCTCGTAGACAGCGAACGGCTTCATCATCACCGCGCGGATCGTGCCCACGATGTGAAAGTGCTTGTCGAGAAGCAGTACCATGAAGAACACGTGCCCCAGTAGCAACAGCAGTGCGAATCCGCCCGACACGAACGTTGCTTCGTCCAGGAACCGCCAATTGACCGTCCACTTGAACGCAAACACGCGGCTGAGGTCAAACGCTCTGTTCACGTAGCCCCACCAGTTGTGCTTGAGGAACGGGTAGCCCAACGCAACCTGAATAGCTGCGCAGACCAATAAGTACCACGCCGTGCGCAGAATACCACACGACTGCAGCAACAAGAAGAACAGTGCCGGTGCGAACAGCAAGACGTTCATCTTGATCGACACTGCGAGACTGAAGAGCACACAGCCCCAGCGCCAGCGTTGGCGTGCAAACAAGTACACAGCAAGGAACAGCAGCATCATCGCCACGCCGTCGTTGAACATGCGCAACATGTAGATCGAGTGCAGACGCTTCGATATGCACAAGAAGACGGTGGCCCAGGGCGGCAGGACGCGTGCGCGGTAGTAGATCGCCAGCACGGTGGCAATTGTCACGAGGTAGAACCCTAGAAAGATGTACTGGGCCCGCCGGATATTTTGACCGTCGTCCGTGACCGAGTGCAGGAACGAAAAGAGGTAGACGAACCCCGCCGGGTACACGAGCGGTCCAGTGTCGCCGCCAATGTTGAGGTAGTCGCGCTCGCCGCGCTTGAACAGCTCCACTTGCTGCATGTACGTGGACCAGTCAATCTCCGTATCTGCACACAGTACACAACAACAAGCGGCAATGAGGTCTTATAGGTCTTCTAGTATGGATTTGGAGTGGAGTGGGTTCAGTAGCGGCGCATCAACGTACAGGGCACGTTCTGGATGATCAGGTAGCCCACACCCGCCTCGACGAGCAGGAGTAGACAGGCGAGCTGCGGGAAGTAGCGGTAGCTCCACATGAAGTCGTAGAGGAACGACAGCACGCGACTGTGCGCGAGCGTCGTCTTGACGTCCTTATTGATGCGAGTGGCTCGCACCATCGTCGACGTCGTCTTTGCCTTGCGAGCCATCTGCCTGGGGCGATGGATATGTGACTGTGAGACGCGTGGAGTAGTACTGTAGTAGCTGTTGTTGTTGTTTTGTGGTGCATACGTACTGTAGTGTATTGTGACGCGATAGGAGAGGGTACAGTATACTGTTGTAGATACAGTACTATCGATTTACTGCTTGTTCGCGCGATCGTGACAATTGCACGACGACGAAGCCACGTTGCACAACAGTGCGCTTGGGTGTGGCAGAAAGTGTACGACGAATAGCGCGCGGACGATTCGATGTCCGCATGCGACTTTATTTCGATTGCAGCTTTTGAGCAATGGAGCACTTTACAGCAGCAGCACTTCTTTTGGCGCAAACGACTTGTGGTTCTTGAGCAATCAGATGCGCTGTTTCGATCGAGTATAGGTAAGCAAAGTGGTGGCATGCATGTGATTGAGTGTGGGAAACGACAGTGCATTGAGCGTGCAACAAACGGTAGTTTGCGCGTTGCTAACGTCGATTGAGACCCAACGCATGGACAGCAGAATTGTAAAGCGAATGTACCAGCGGTGCACTTTACCTGACGGAAATCAGACTTGTCGTGTGAGTTGGCCATTCCGTTCGTGTTGTGGTCTTTTCGTTCGACGTGTTGGACAAGAGTCGATGCAGAGGTGTTTGGAACACGCTTGACTGCGCGTGGCGATAATGTCCCTTGCGAGTGTGTAGGAAGTATCATTGTCGCTACCCCGAGTTGACGGATGTGGCGCTTCCGTGCTTAATTTCTTATACGTCAACTTGTGTAACCTCGACAGAACGCTCTGTATGTAGTGCACCTCGTGCGTACATGTGAAACTTCCGAGGTGGATGTGTAATGGACAACATAGCTCCGCTGAGAGCAGCATTCCTTGATGCAGAGGTAGATGTTTTCACGCTCGTGACGAAGCAGAGGTATGGCTGGCAACGATACTTAATGCCAGAGCACAGACAAGCAACTCCATAGCTCTATACAGAGCGCCACGACTTGCAGCGAGTGCAATTGTATGGCTACCGCAGGTTCGTGGGATAATCACGGTGCAATGTAAGTCGTAGGGTACGATAGAAGACGGGACCGCGGCTGGACAGGCTTAGCAGCGTAGCTTGAGAACGTATCACTGATACCGTATTCCCATCCCTGGCGCAGTTTCGCTGCGTTCAGCTGAGTTGGAATGATATCAGTGTTGACAACCACAGAGGACACAACGCTGCAATTGAGCGCGACGCTGGAGCGGCCTTCCATTGCAATTTCCGGAACGCGCGCTTGGAGGGTTCGGAGTCACCGCTAGGTACTCCGCCGAAAGTGCCGGAAAGTAGCAATAATGTCTGCAGCTTTCGCGCCTGAAAAACAAAACGTAGCGCGTTCCGGTAAACGAGCGCCCGCAGATAAGTGCACAACGCCGACGTGACGTTGCTGTGATGTGGAAATGCTGACGATGTTTCCAGTGCACACGTCAGCTCGGGAGCATTTAGCTGTTGCACGATCACTCCACAGCTTTGTGTACAGAGGATCTTGCGCGCTTCTCACAGTGTCTCGTTCTTGTCGAGAGATATCTATTGACAAACACACGTTTGTGAATCCGCCAGCGGTCGTGGCATCATCGGTGCTAACGCGACGCCGTCGTCTGCAAAACACGATGGCACAATGGTAAAGCTGGTCCGACATGACAGAAAATACCAGTCAAGAACTGTCTGTATCGACGACGAATGGGATCTCCATTTGGCAGCAACAGATGCAACTGTTCTGTCTGCTTGACGGGCTTCTCGAACATAAATATGGAGAGATCGATCCGTCACCTGCCGGGTCAGGTCTTTGATACATGACAACAACTAGGGTGTCATTCCCGCAGTAGTTGTCAAGCCCGGTTATGCATATGGCTTGTTCTTCTCCGTGTGTCATCTCCGATGCGACGGACCGTAGTTGCCGCTTCCATATGCTGTCCCAGCGCACTCATATATCTACGTCGCACAGTCGAGAGTCCAGCAAGACCAAAGCACTAGCACCGTCTTGCGTGGCCGCCCGTAAATCGCTTCAACGACCGAAGTTGACCTCGTGCCGATAGAAAGCGATTGACCGAGCGGCAGAACAGTGGAACAATAGCACCGCCAATTGTGACTTTCGCCGTGGACATTGGGCTCGAAGCACGCGTGCTGTGGTAGCCCTCAGCTACGAAAAGTAGCACCTGAATAAGCTCAATCGTACCACGTCCGTGTTTTACGGATGCCTGAGACTGAGGCTGTTGCAGGGCTCGTAATATGTTGCGGACGTTACCTTCGCTACAAAATAAACGATACGAAGATGTGTAGGAAGAACGAGAAGCATCTGCGTCGAAAAGCTGCAGCCACGTGTGACAATTGTGGTCAATCAAAAGCGGAGAAGACAGCGCGTGGATCAAGAGAAGGCTACAACACACGTACTCCATCTCGTCGCGTGTTGAACCACGCCATTCATCGGACATCGACGTCTTGTTGACGAGCAAGTAGAGGTCAAACGAACTCACAGGGTACCATTCGTTCGTACCTCACAGCTCTTTTCTAGCGGCGTGGACCTCGTGGTCCTTGCCAATGCACTCGCCTATCCTGTGAATGGACACCCACTGTTCGACAAATTGGGTTTGCGTTGGGAAAGGACGCGCGAAAGGACATTTGGACTGCCAAGACAATGGCAGCAACTCACCGCCTGAACGCTATGGACATCGGTCAAGTTGAGAAACGAACAGGATAGTGGTCTCGTCGTGTCGGCGAATGCGGCGTCGACGTCTGTGTTTGCACTGCGGTATCACGGCAAACGGCTAACGAGTGACCTGACATGGAGGGTAGCGGAATGTCGTGTATCAGGCCGTCGACTGTACCCGACAAGTACGCGAAGGAAGAACGAGAGGGACCCTTCCGAGTACTTTACTGTACTCTTGTTGGCACGTCAGACCTATTGCAACGAATGCTGGCGCCAGCGTATCAGTCGAACTGGCTGCTCACCGACCGACCCTCGACAACCGCACGCCTTCAATGGAGACGCAATCCATTGCATACATGTGGGCTTGAACTTGATTGAAAGAGACGCTTCTCCGTTGTTGTTGTTGACCACGATGTCCGTCGTGTAGGCGCTAGTTCAATCCAGAGCCCTGTACTGCTCCACTTGAAGCGTCGTTGTCTCTGTAGCTGCTCGCTCGTGTGAGATGAGAGACTAGATGCCTGGGCACCATAAACTCGCTCACCCGTTTCTGTGTCCATCAGTTGTCGCACATTGTCCATATCTGTCTTGATCTGTGGCTCCTGCCACTTGGCCACTCGCGCCTCAACCCTCCGCTATGACTGCTCGCACCTTTTGCTATTCGGAGCAGCTCCCCGTTCGTTGCACACTCCTAGCTCACTTTGGAAATCCCCCTCTCTTACGACCACAACTAGACCCGTTGCGATGAACATCTATCACCACAGCCTGCCTGAAGGTCTCAGGTCAAACGCTCGACTCGGAGACTTCGTAGGCGGCAGCGACATGTTGGCCCTGCTCAATTTGGTGATACCCAGCCCTGGCGTGCTTCTGTCGCCGCTGAATACGGCGTCGTTGATCGACGACTACGACCCGATGGACTATCCGTTCATGCCCCCGTCAGCAGCTCATGAGGACCCGTTGTTCCCCTCTCCTCCGTCGTCAGCACCCGAGTTCCCATGGGTACCCGAATCGCTGGACCTTCCACTCCACTTGACGAGCGTCGATCCGCTAGCTGGTCCAGCAGAGCTCATTGTGTCGCACGACCTCCAGCGATTAACTGAGCCAATGTTTGATCCATCACACTGCCGGATCAAGTCACTCGCGCTGCTCTACTCCGATATCCCACTTTCAGCCGTGCCCAACGAGGTCCCTCTACTGGATGAAGTTGACGCCCGTGAATTGATTGCGCTCTTCGAAGACATGGACGCCCCACAAGACGAGAGCCAACAAACAAAGCCCCAGCAGCCCCAGCAGCTCCAGCAACGACAGCAGCAACTGCTGGTGGCGTGCAAGAAGTCCAAAGGCAAATGTGCAGTCGCCGGGTGCAACACCAAAATGCAGAGCAAAGGAAAGTGCATCCGACACGGAGGCGGCAGGCGCTGTGTGGTCGAAGGCTGCACGCGTGGCGCGCAGACCCTGCGTCGGTGCAAACGTCACGGTGGCGGCGCTCGCTGCCGAGTCGAAGGCTGCGGGACAAGCAGCCAGGGCGGAGGCTTGTGTCGAGCACATGGAGGTGGGAGGCTGTGTACAGCCCCCGGGTGCAAGAAGGGTGCCCAGCGACAAGGAAAATGCTCCACGCACTCTTCACAGCAGTGCAGCGCTGCCAATTGCTTGAGTGTCGCCCGGTGCAGAGGTCTGTGCAACCGACATAAGAAACAGTTGCAGGTCTAGCGATGCAAACAGTGCCAACCATTTGTGTACACCAGCAGCCACGGCGTCTTGACCCAGTAGAAGTTGCAACAGGTCACCACCGTATACGAAGAGCGCCCGTGCATCATTGTAGCAATAGCGAGATCGAGACCGCATGAATTCAACTTGTGAACGTCGTCTTTGACGTCAGCATGTTCGTTACTCGCGCACTCGATCATTGTCGACCGTGCTGCCTATGGCTGCAATAGTCGCCGATCTTCCTCCTCTCTTGCAAGCTTTTCCTCTTCAACAGTCTGCTTCGCAAGCTGGTAGCGCGGGTCCATCTTCTCCTTGCTGTAAGCGGCCCCAAAGAATTGGGGATCCGTTTCTGCCTCCTTCGCGTACTTCAAAATCGCCTGTCGCGGATCTTCCTCTCGGAACGAAGACTTGATATGACTACTCATGAAGTACTGCGTGAAAGTAGTACTGCCGCTGATCTTACCACCCATGCCTGGACCCGTCATGGGCCTCTCGGGCGCATGAGATTTCTTTGGGTCCGCACGCACTTTCTCGAATTTTCGCTTGTGCGACCCTGGAGTATCATCACGATACATAGGTAGCGCGTGCGGCGTGTACACTTTGCCGGCGCTGTCAATGCGCACTCCCGAGTCATTGCCTTGTGCCTTCAGCTTCTTTGTAGCACTCAAGAGAACACCCTTGGTACTTTGTCGCGGGTCATACCGAACTCGACAAGCTCCCGTAGAGCTGCCGACAAATATCTGATTTATACCGTGGTGCCACTCCACACATACTGCGCTTTCGTCTTCCTTCATGTCAATGCGGGCGACGGGCTCCAGGAGGCCAGGTGTATGCACATCCAGGAACAAGACTTGTCCATGCAGGCCCTTGCCCTTCTGAACAGAAGTTCCAGCAGCGATGGCCGTACCGCTGTGGTTAAAAGCAAGATTGCATGTCCCAAAGACGCCCTCAATGCCATGGAACACCTTCAAACTCTGCTTGGTCTTACGCATATCCCAGATCTTTACAGTGTCGTCCGAGCAGGATCGGGATGCCATCAATTTGCCGTCAGGCGAAAATCGAATCGAAGAAACGCCGACACCACCCCCACCGTCCGCATGTGCATCACGAATAACAATTGCAGCCCCAGCATAAGCCTTGCGCGGATCGATGCACTGCACTTGACCGTCCATGGTGGCTCCTGCAATTAGCCCACCTTCTGGGTTGAAACGGCAGGCTGTTACTCCGCAGCGTCGACCCCGGCGGTCCTTCAACTTGAACACGGACGTATTGACGAGCTTGTTGAACGTCTGTTTACCCTCGAGGTTCCACAATCGAACTGTACCGTCTAATGAGCTCGTTATCATTTGCTCGCGTACTTTCGGATGCCATTGGCCACCAGTTGCTGTGTGCGTGTGTCCATTGGTGTTAGCCATGTCGACAACATACATATCTCCCTTTGCAAACTGCACTTCCTCCACTCCCTCACGTGTAATTACCTTTGGCTGCGATGATCCGGTGACCACTAGCAAGCGATCTCCGGAAGGACTGTAGCTCACAGCCACAACCGGGTGGCCCTCGTCCACCTCAACATCACGGAATGGGCGGACGTGACGTGCCATACCTGCAAAGTCCCACAACTTGACGTGGTAATCTGTGGACCCGGTGGCCACCCTAGCGCCAGGCAGATCCACAGCAACGCAAGCAAGTCCTTTGATGTGGCTCTCAAGAACAACTTCGTGAGACTTGGGCAAGCCATATCGAAGGGCAACGTCATTGTCATCTTCGTTGTCACCCTCGCTTTCATGTTCTGCTGAGCTGCTTTCCTCGCCGCTATTGTCTCGCACTCGCTTCTCTTCCGAGGCAATAACGTTTGTAGCAACTTCAGCAGGTGTTTGCATCATTTGAGCAGTCATCGCTGCGATCTCAGCTTGTCTCTGTCACAAGTACACACACGGTCATGGCACGAACACAAGAGAGTAAGTACGCACAATACAGCCAGTCGTCTCCTTGCAATCAAAGCTCAATAGCAGCAGGTACGACCCCACCTTCTGTCGTTCCTCAGCTTTGGCCTCACTGGCCACCAACAGCTCTCGATCGTCGTGTTTCTTGTGTCTCTTCTTGTTTCCAAAGCTCTGCATCTCGCGCATCATTTGCTGCAGTTCAGGGTTTCGACTAGCTGCTCCTGGAAGCACGCGCTCGTCCTGCCCCTTTGCTTTATCGTCAACAACTGCATTTCGAAAGACAAACGTCTTGGAGCTGGCCCCCAAAGTGATACGGTCACCGTCGTGCAGCGCTCGAGGTTTGTGTGGCGCGATCTCTTGGCCGTTCACAAAAGTGCCCTGGGCCGAGTCCAAGTCCATGAGACAAATGCGCCCGCGCTGGTCGTGCGTGACGACTGCGTGTCGACGAGAGACGGACGGATGGGGCAGCCGAATGTCGCTCATCTCCTCACTGCGGCCGAGCACATAGCACGACTGGGCGCCAACGGGAAAGTGCTCTGCGCTTTCGCTTCCCTCGTGTACCTGCAGCTTCGCGTGGCGATTACGATGTACAGGAGACGCTGACCTGATGGAAATCGAGCACAGAAGACAGAGAAAGAGATGGACAAAGACACAGAGAGGGTGTGGGGTCAGTGGTTGCGCGTGGAGCGGAGATGAAGAGGTCTCGAGCGCACCATTTGGGGGCTCGGTACGCCATGTGTTGTCGCGGTGGAGTGCTTTTTTATCTTTCGCTTGTGTGAGCCAATTTTTGTCTTTATCTGGAAGGTGCGAATCGGATAATAGGATATTTATCGAGCTCGCAAGCTAGAATTGTAAGTGCGATTGGAAATGGGCGCTGTTGTGTATGTCTTCGCGAGGTCATCAATCTTTAGTGCCCAGAATGACTTTTCGCGAACATTGTGTATTTATCTGCGAATGAACAAAAAGCAGCAGCAGGCATGCGTTTATGTTACAAAAAGCCACGTAAGTTGATGAGATGAACTCCGAGCGTCAACAAAAGCTCGTCCTAGACGTCATTGGTCGATAGCACTTCCATAAGCACAGTGTAACGGGAATAGCCCGTTTCATAACTGTAACGGGGTGAGCTTGTTACATAAAAATTGGTACGAAAGTACCAATTTAAAATATCATCTGTTTAGACAAATAACATCACTCGAAATGAGTGATGTTGTCGTATTACACCTTTAAGGGTAATATTCGTGAAGGAGTCCACTTCTCGTTTGATGTACCGTGTACATCAACCAACCTAACCACCAATCGCTGCTGGACGCGCGCAATGGGTGGTGAGCAAGGGACCCACATAGGAGAAGGAAGTTTAATATAGTTAGAGTAAGTCAAGAGATGATTACTTACGTTTTAACTATATTATATAACAGTTCTACTTTTCCCTCAAGACAGGGCTTTCGGGTTCTGTTTTGCCTACGTTTCTTCGGTTGCCCTGTGTACGCTTATCGGGCACACGTCACCCTTGCGTTAAGTTCACGCAAGGGGTGTGACCCGTTACACCTGGTATCACTTTGTAGTCCTTCCAGCGACCAAGACTCTCATCCATCGAGAACATGATACACAAGGAAGAAAGCTTTCACGTGACAAGTGAAGGCTTTGACCATTTGGGTGATCTCAAATGGGCCGCGGTAGGGCGAATGAGCTCTACCGTCGGCGAAACCGCCATTAGCGCCATGTTGAAGTCCCTTGATAGGGACCAACAGCATGCCCATGTAGCCAAGTTCATTCAGAATGAACTTGTCGTCGAACGCGAAAACGTAGCCTTGCTTCACCAGCAAGGCTCTCAACAGGCCGAGCAGTTGAGAGAACTTGGTGCTCAACAGACTGAGATGTTGAGACAGCATCAATTTAATGATGCTGTGAACGGGATGACGACCGCACGTCGTCCTTAAATCTTGAAGGTTGATATCTCCAAGTACAGAGGAGTCGATGAAGACTCCCTGTTATTATGGTTCGTCGAACTCGATAGAGCCATAAAGGTACGTCGTATCGATGATGAGCAAATGAAACTCACATTTGATCAAATCCACTTGTCAGGACGTGCCAAAACTTGGGCCTTAGGGCTCGAGAGTAGCGACCCACATGTGTTTAGGTCGCTAGATGACTTCAAGTCCCGGCTCAGACAAACGTTTGAGCCGCCACGGGCTGAGTTCAGGGCTCGTTCAGAGTTCCTGAAACTCAAGCAGGGTAAGCGTGATGTGCACGCTTACGCACAACATATACGACTCCTTGCGAGTAGTATAACTGCTAACCCAGCTCATGAACACACGTTGATTACGGTGTTCATGCAAGGGCTCGCACCAGGGCCCGTCATAGGCCACCTGTTCCGCCTTGAGCTGAATACGCTGGAAGATGCGATATCAGCCGCGGAACAGGAAGAATTTAGCATGAGACACGCTCATGCTAGCTCAAACTCTTATCGTCCACTAAGACGACAAGAGTCCGGAGGTCCAGAACCCATGGACATCTGTTATGTCGAGAGCGAGAGACCTCGCTCTCAAAACAACAAGCGATTGAAGAAATGCACTTGCTGCCAGAAGTTAGGACACTACGCTTACGAGTGTAGTGCCCCTCGCCCAGTTCCAAATAATACTGAGCGAAATGGTCGACCATTTGCCAAGAAGGGCAATGGGCGTGGGTCCAGCGCTGTTGCGAAACCGCAACAGCGGAATGGACCATCAAAAAATGATCGGGGTCAGTAGGTGCGAAGCGCCCTACTGATCCAGCAACCTCAAGAGAATTTGCAAATCTTTTGACGAAAGTTGCTCTAGACACACAGTCAGTGTGTGTCTCTGCACCTGGTGATAGGATATTACCCATCACCTTGAAGTTAGAAGTGACAAAAGATATGTCACTTCGTGGTCTGGCTGACTGTGGGGCGTCGAACAACTTTGTTCGACGCCAGTCACTAGAGGGTCGTAGGCTCAAGTTCGTTGAGCGCGACATTCCCCTCGCGAGGATGACGGTGCGCCTTGCTACAGGCGCATCGATTACCGTAAAGAAACGTGTAGTGGGGATACACTACACACTAGAGAGCGAACAGTACGATGATGATTTCATCGTACTGGATCTGGATGACAAATTTGATGTCATCCTGGGATTGCCTTGGCTCAGAAGGTACGAGCCAAGAGTGAGCTTGCAGCATCGATCCGTGAAGACGCCTGCCGCTTGTTCATCAGATGGCCATCTGATGAACGTCATGGAGCGTCCACAAGCGTGTGGATGTACTGCAGGTGAGTGCGATGGCCTCACTTGCGGTACGGTCGTTAGCACGACTGCACAAGACCTCAGTGTAGATGATCACAACACTGCGGAGCAAGCTCCCGGCGACTGTACAGATGTACAGGCAGCACCGAAGGTCGACCACTCGAACAAGTCGAGTGGACCGGGACATGGATGTATGCCTAGCGGACAACATCCTAGACAGAAGAAACCTGTTGCCATCAGGGGTCAACACGGTCATCCCAGGTCGACTGTAGAGTCTACCGAAAAGGGCCAGTCCCTGAATGTGGTTGCACAGCCACAGTCAAAGGACGTGGAGGAAATAAGTCCCACATTCAAGAGGAAGGATTGCCTCTTGAGGTACATGTTGAGAGAACAGGCTCTCAACAAGATTTGGAAACAAGTTCTCAGGAAGAAACTGAGACGTTGAACGTCTTGGTCAATGACGGATCAAGCATAGGCGCTTATACGCTGTATCTGATTGTGCCTCCGAAGTTAACTTCGGAGATAACTCAGTTGCCAATGCTGGAACCAAAACAGTTCTTGCGCGATCTTCGTAATGGCAAAGTCAAGCAGATTTGCATACTCGTCGCGAAGGACGAGTATATGGCCGATATTCGGTCGGCATCAGTATTTGCTAAGAACGAACGGGTTCTATGCAGCTCATCGATGGACGAAAGTGTCCTCGATGAGAAGACTCAGATTGAGCGTTACACGTCTCAATCCTGTAAGTCGCTCCAGGCAAATCCTTTGTATAAGGATTTGATCGAATTCGAGAACTTATTCCTGAATCCGTACCATGCGAGTTGCCTAAGGACAAAGTCACTCGACACTAGATTGAGCTCAAGCCGGGCACGAAGTACTGTGTCATGAAGCAGTTGCCACTGCCTCGAGAACAGGTACTAGCGATCGACAAGTTCTTTGCCGATCGCTTAGCAGCGGGCCAAGTGAGGGAATCGACATCCCATCACAGCTCTCCGACCCTTTGTGTGCGAAAGGCCACAGGAGGATGGAGGATAGTGCACGCATACAACAAATTTAATGCTGCAACGGTACCGGCTCAGACGCCAATACCGAGGAAGGACGTCATCATAGACGGTATGTTAAAGAGTACCATCTTCTCGTCCATGGATCTGATGGATGGATTCTATCCGATCCTCATGCATGAACGGGACATCCAGTTCACGGCAGTAAGTACTCCCAGCGGTATGCTGTGGGAGTAGCTAGTGATGTCACAAGGGCTGAGTAACGCCCCTGCAACGTTCAACAGATGTGTGACAAATCTGTTGAGACCGGTGTGAGACTTCGCACCGAGTTACTTCGACGATGTGTCGTCCATAGTCGGGCTATGTGCGTAAGACGGACGTGGAAGTTCACAGAACTCACGTTCGTCAGGGTCTTCAACTTATGCGTAAGCATAAGCTGTACGCCAATCTTAAGAAGGGTATCTTCGCGGCTAGCGAAATACCACTTCTTGGGTGCGTGCATCTTGGGTAAACACGGCGTACTCCCTGGTCCCGAAAAGATCAAGGCGATCACCGACTGACCCGTGCCAGTCGATGTCAAGGGACTTCGAAAGTTCTTTGAGCTATCGGCGTACTTGCACAAGTACTCAGGCAACTACGCCGAGATGACCGTGCATCTTTCTCGGTTACTCAAGAAAAATGTCAAGTGGTCATAAAACGCTGAGTGCCAGCGTTCCTTTAAAGGTATCAAGCAGAGATTGATGCAATCGCCCACACTGGAGATTGCAGATCAGGACGGACCATTCCTTGTGTCTGTGATGCCAGCGATTTTGCGATCGGCTGCGCGTTGATGCAATTTGACACAGACGGCGCAGAGCGCGTCATCTGCTATCAATCGCGTCAGCTGCAAGCAGATGAGCGTAATTTTCCAGTTCATTAGAAGTAACTCCTTGCCATAAAGTACGCACTGACCAAGTTCCGCGTCTATCTCCTGGGAGATAGACCGTTCATCGTCTATACGGACCATGCGTCACTACGAACGGCCGTAAACAGTCCCCACCTCTCGAAACAAATGGCGAGGTGGCTGTCTTTATTCGCGGATAAGACTTCTCCGTGGCGTATAAACCAGGACGACTTAATGTTGCCGCTGATGCGCTACCGCGCCGGCCCGATTTCGAGCCAACACCACGCGTCAATAGTGAGGCCTTGTCCACTGTTGCGGCAATTTCAGTCAGTGTGCCGTCGTCGCCTTTACTCGACGACGTGCGAAAGGCATACGCAGAGGATACGAATCTCCTTCGTTTGATGATTCACCTTGCATATTCATCCCGAAAATCCTTGTCGGATTTGACGGCTCGATACCGTTCCTCGTTGAATCCGTATACGACTCGCAATGGCCTGCTGTACAACACAGCAGTTACCGACGACACACCTCGTGTCGTCGGTCCCACCCATAACAAGTTGCGATTGCGCATCATGTTCGAATGTCACGATGCCCCTCAAG